TCTACAGATATAAATCAACAACACTTCTAAATACAGTAAAATAAAAATACATGTAGCGTTTATCAAAGTTTATTCCACTGCGTGTCCTAATCCTCCACCTATAAAACCCTATAACCACCGTTTTCGTGGGAAAGCATGCAATGAGTAGGGATTAATGAGTGGGCCTATATTAGCTACTGTTGCCCGTAAGCCTTGTGTTAGCTTTCCGTACTCACGATTTGACTTTTGCCTATTTTCCCTGCCCACAAAACCTCTATTAACACCGGTCCCGTAAGACACAAGACTGGGCCTAAGCGTATATTAGGTGCGTTAGCAATGATACCTCTGCCGCCATTTCCTCTGGGTTAATTTAATGAAGGTAACCCGGTGCGAATACGTTTAAGTAAAATTATTTTACCTAGCTGGGAAACAGGATATCGAAAAAAAATGCACAATTTTTCAATTGCTACACTGCAGTGAATGATATTCCCACGGCTACTGACGATACTACTCATCCGATATCCTGGCTGCAATCATAGAGGACCCAGAATGATCTGCTTCTCGGTCAATCAATTTTTCGCTTTTGGTCTATCTAAATGCGTTTACCTGAACACATGGAAGTATACTTTCATTAGTGGTCAATGGATTTTGGCGAATACTGTGCCTTTGTGCGATAGGTAAGAAGCATTAGCAATTTGGCTTTAGTCATTAAATACCACTAACGCACGCGTAAATAAGAAGCCATTTTATAGTAAACAGGTTCAGTTCAAAAATATGTTTGCGTAATAAGACTCACTAAGGTCCTTCACGCCAATAGTTTGCTTCAATGGTTGTTATACATTATCGTAAGTTGGATTGGCACATACATTTACTGATATTCTTAGCAAAAGCGTTTAGCCTACCTTGACTGCATCTGGTATAATGGTCCTGTTAACCACTCTAGTTGAAATCTGTTGGGTGCAGGCTTGAATAATGTTTTCGGGAAACATGTTTCTGAAAAGGATAATTGAAGAAAAGCTTTAACTACTCTGTTCTTGTCGGTGAACTTACTCACAGTCTGCGGATCAACCGACTTCTATAAATTCTCTGTGATGTTTTCAGGAATATGTAGTCGAGATTGATAAATGCTGGGTTTAGCATGAAATATTTCAGTGTGTGATTCGTTCAATGAAAGGGATGCAGCAAGAAAAGCACAAAGCGGCAAAGAAAGAACTCATTTACAATATTAAAAATAATAAGTGTAATTCCCGGATGTTAGCGATACAAATAGAAGAAAAATATACTTTTTATTTAAATGTCTGACGAGCGGAAATGAAAAGGATTGGTGGTCTGTTGAATGACATGTGCAAACTCCTGAACATATCAATTCTCAACGGAAACCACGTAATGCTTTCGCAACCACGTTTGTTCAGTCCAATTAACAGTGAGCAGAAGCATTTTTACTTAACGAGATGCCCAGCTCCCTGTTCAAATAAGCACAATATTCGCCTATTATTTTTCTGTTCTACAGTCTTATTTTTAAATTGACACCATTTTTCCAATTGTATATTACTTTTCAGTCAGAATATTACACTCTCTGCAGCCTTAATCACGGCGGTGTCTGTGATCCTCCAATTCAAATGCTCATCTCTGCTTTTGTAGTACACCACAGCGAAGCATAACATAAGAAACTGTCTTAAAGCTCTATTGGGTGACCTTACAAAAAAAATATCTCAGTGGTTTTCGGACAATGAGGAGCTAGCTTTTCGCTTCTTGGAATATGTCTATATTTGTGTGCGACACACCACAGAGTCTTTAGCTCGTTTAAAATAATAGTAGAGGAGAGGAAACTGATGGTTGATTTTGAACTGCAACCATATTATTAATGTACTGATAAAAATTGTGCCTTCTCCTACGACCTAGGTCCAGCATCGAGTCCCGTACAGTAAGATAGTGTCGTGTAGACGTCGATTCCCTGCAACAGTCCACTGATCATCTCGGATAGCGGCTGGGGCCTGGCAATAGGAATAAGCAATGGGGTCAGCAGTTCAAATAATTTTGTTCACTGCAAACATGCTGACGCGCTAGAAGCTATCAGCATGCGCTAAAAGACGTGGCTTGGAAGGCTGCCAACTAACGGAGTAACGTGGACCGCGTAGTCAGTGTGGGCTTGTGCAGAGCAGCCGACTGGCGGGCTAAGAGAGTCAGGTTCGTTCTGTATATGGCCTCTATGACAATCGCACATTGTAGGGTCCGAGCCAGGTGTGTGGCGGCGCGCAGAAGTGCACGTTCCTGTCGTGCCATTCACATGTGCCGTTTCCTGCCTCCAGTCCTCTTCACTTGGCCATGACATCGGCCCAAATGGGGGAGGAGGAAAAAGTGAGGTAGATGCTACACAAGTCTAATCTAACTATAATCTAATTTACGTGCTACTCATCGTCCCTGCTTCCACTTGCTGTGGGACGTACGGTGGACCTCGTTGAAACCGATTTTCGAACAGTCCTGTCGTGTACTACTTCCCGGCTACAAAGGACAGTGATTGTGGTGCTGACATTGTTGGCAAAAAATGCCCATGCACTGACCGGAACAGATCCATAATGGCATCCAGGGTGTTGGGGCCATTTGTGGTGGCCATCGTACCAGCACCACGTGCCTTCTTTACGGCAGGACTTCCAGGATGAATAGCCATCACGAGGACAATGCCGAGAATTGCTGCGAGTAGGGTTGTCGTAGCATAGTAGAGTAGGGCGTAGGTTCCGATTTTTCCCGAGGATTTGACATCCAAGTTAGCAAGGCCTGATAAAGAAGTAGTGAAAAAAGCCTTTCTTACGGTTGTACTTAGGGTAAAAAAGATACTGCGAAGGTTATGGGTGGTTTTCCACTTTCTGGAAATTCCTGAGGCCCTTGTGTTCAGATGAGGCATTGAACATCGTGAAGTCATTTCTAAATATTGAAGTGTCATTTTTGCAAAGTTACCGAGACGTTGCTTATTCCATAATACCACTGCGTAAGAGAAAATGTTTTGAGACTTATTGCAACCCTATGAACTTTACCACCAAAGGGCCATACGATCTCAAAGCCTATATTTCAAAGACCTCAAAGATGTTATCCCTGTTTGTAAACACGACTTGTTCAGCAAGTGAACCTGACAACTACAAATAGCGTCGTATGACACACGTTCTTAAAAATATGATAACTGTTATCTGTCTCTAGGTCACCTTACGTGACTTTTAGCCCTCGTCACTGGGTTACAACGGAGGTCTAATCAACTCTGCCTCCCTAGATAAAACATCCTCAAATAATACGTAAAGTTGGAGCCCCGCGCATTCAATTTAAAAGAGAAAATCTTCAATCTACCTGAAATGAGGCTCGAAGTGATCAGAGGAATGATGAGTAATTTGAGCATGTTCATTAGCAGTTCTCCGGGAAAAGCGACCAAATTCACCGTTCGTGGGCTGATGTCAGGGTGAGCGGTCTTGATTATAAAACCCAGCAGAAGACCCAGGACAACAGAACTGATAGTCATGATGAGTTGGATATTTTCATGTTTTCGGAACCACTTCGTACACTAGGTATCAGAATTCAAAAGAACTTAAAAAGGAAGTGGCATTCGAAGAAAACAGTCAGAAAGGCGTTGTGAATAAGCAAGGAAAGATGAAGGGGGTTTTATGGAAATGCCACGGACCCTTCAAGCCTGGCAGCACCCTGACGCATGCAATTTGACCTCATGTTACGATAGTCTTCTAATTTCGACAGGTTGTCAATGTTATTTTATTTTCCCTGCATGTTTAAGTAAACTTCGTCTTCAAAGTTATCGTTTTCATAATCCTTCGGAAAACCAAGACCAAACATACTTAGAGATTAATGATAAGATAGTAAAATAAGTCTTGACCAACGAATCGAATTCGTTCGGTTTTTTATAATTTTGCCCATAAACAGTGACCATCCCGACTGCTAACAAATGGAGTTCGACGAAAGCTTTCGTATATAAAAAATGGCATTAACATGCGTTTATATTCTGGCTGTTATATTTGTTTATCATTTTGTACAAAAAAGTAAAAAGAAATTGCAGCCGTAAGGGATACCCAGGGAACGTGAACTGACAAGATCTCCTGTTAGGCGTGAGCATAGACGGACATGACAACGGTTTGTACATAAATATTGATGGCGGAGTTCGTCATTACAATAGGAATGTAGACAATCGTGTCGACGCAACAACTACCGACGAGACGAACACGGGCAAGTGCAAACGGGGGACGAGAACAAGACACACGGGCCTTCAAAAACAAACGCGCTCAATGCAGGGAAGAGCAATGACCGTTGCCATCCCAACACTGCCCTCCCCCTCCGATGAGGTGAAAGTGAAAAAAAGTAGCCAGCAGGATGACGACTGACCTTCACTCCACGCAGGGCATCCGGCGCCAATAGATGCAGAGCGAACAGGACGCCAGTCTGACACCCATCAATACTGTGAGGCGCGTACAGAACCCACGTTTGACGATGTAAGCATCTACGCTTTCGAAACGTCAGGATATTAAACATATTGTTCCCGTGATCACCTCTTATCATTTAGGTCCAGGACACGCATTTTCACTTCAATCAGCGGCAAAATCAACTAAAGCAGATATGATTAGTCTGGCCTCTATTGACTTTGTGGTAGTGAAAGCTTATATACACTCCCCACTCCACCACGGCAGGAAACGGTAACTGGAACCATCCATAGTACAGGCTGCTTTGCGATTAATGTTAGGATCAGGGTTAAGATTACAGTTACAGTTCGGGTTTGGTTTAGGGTTAAACCGCTGAAATATTTACCCTTCCTTGAATTCAATGCAAGGTTATCCTTATTGCAGGGCTCGGAACCTTTCTATTCCCTTGGCCAACCGGGTGCAATGTAAGCAACACCGACCTAATTGTTCCATTACCAAAACGGCGATGCCTACATATTCATCCCATTCTCGATCTCCACCGACAACGAAGGAGCCCGTGGTGCAGTGGTAGAGTGGTAAACTCAATGAACAAATGTCCCGCGGTTCTAGCCCTTGAGATTAGTTATGACTAGCAAATGACGGCTAACAAGCCAGAAATGGCCACTCCGGTCTTCCCCTGCTTTGTTGGATCCATCCTATCCTACTAATAGCTAGGTGACTGCCTGCGCGGGCTCTAGTATGAGCTCCAGGGCAAAAGCGGAACGTAACTGTTT